CTGAGCCCCACTCATACTCAGGACCCCACCTAGGCGCTGCCCCCTCCAGGACACTAACCCTAGGTGCCAGGCAGAGTCAGCAGGCTCCCTTGTGTGCCCTATCCCGTCTAGCACTGATTGCCTGGGAATGGGATGGACTTGACTGTCAGCCAACACCACGGCCATGTGACCTGGGCTGCAGAGCCTGACTCAAGCCAGGCACAGGGGGAGTCAGCCAGGCCTGGGCTGGCATGGAAAGTCACTCCTCGAGGTGGTCGTGAGCAGGTGGGGGGCCAGTGCCCGCTGACAGACATAGGAGCCAGTTACACTGATGGCCTGGGCCTCCTGCCCAGCTCTGCCCTGTGGCTCAGGCAGAAAAGGCAGAGCTGGGCCAGTTTGTGGTTCTCAAACTCGTGTTGGCTGGGATGGGCTTCTGGCCAACAGTGGCTTTCTCAACACCCAGGTTGTGGAGCAGCTCAAGTCAGAGATATTCCAGGGGATGCTAGGGTGTCAAGAAGTGGCCCGAGCCCCTCTGCTTCCACCCCCCATCCGACTCCCTGGTGGTCCTTGTGGTACTCCAGGACTCTAAGGAACCCTGTTTGAGAACCCTATGGATGGCCACTTCTAGGCTCTTTTCTGGCACAGGAGTCTGTTGAGGGCTCACTGCAGAGCCCCAGGTGCCCAGGGAGGACCTGATCTGACCTACCCCTTACCTGTTAGTCCTCCCTGCAGAGACCTCCTACCTCCTCAATATCCAGGCCAGAAATGTCCCTCTCCACGTTCCCCATCCCGGGCTGGTGCTGGCGCCTCTGCTTTCTGCCTCCTGAGCATCCTCCCCTGCCTCCTTCCCCACGGTCACTCCTGGCCCCCCCATGCCTGCACCATCCCCCACAGAGTGATCCCCCAGGGCTGCCAGGGTGGTCCTTCTGAGGGGTAGTTCTGACTGGGGTTCTGATTGGGTGACCCTCACTGCCACCCCTGGCCCACAGTGGGGGACACTGAGGATGGGCCTGGAACCCACAACGGGTGCTCAAGGAGTGGGGTGAGGCGGTGATAGTGAAGGGTGACCAGTGACACTTAGCTTGGCTGGCAGGGGGCCCTAGAACAGGGGATCTGGGGCAGTGCAGAGAGCACAGGCTTGGCCGCAGGCCTGGACTGGAGGCTCAGGAACTTGGCACCCCCTGTGAGGCCCTGCCAAGGCATGGCTCCTCTGTGGACCTCAGAGTACCCTGGGCATCTGCAGAATGGAACCGTGACAGGGACTGCTGCCTCGAGGCAGTGCCTGGCACAAGGCAGCACCCCACCCAGGTCCTGTCCCTTGTGAGCCTGAGATGGACGCTTCTGTATTTTCTCACCAAGCTGCGGCCCACTCCAGGACCTCTCCTAGACCTGCACAGCCCACACGGTGTTGTGGACAGCCCCTCCCCCCCAGTGCTGTGTGGCTGGGCTTATGAGCCTGAGCATCTACTCCAGGCTGCACCTGCTTTCCAGGCCCCCAGAACCAGCCCCTCCATGAGAAGGCTGTGGGGTGGGGCTGTAGGGGGGCTGGGACGAAAAGGGGACATTCTGGTGGGAGAGGGCCCAGAGGTGGGCTCTGGCATCTTGGGCTGTGTGTGCAGTCCCCTTGGGGGGGAAGGTGGTGGATTTGGGGGTGACCCCAACTCAGGGCCTCCTGGGCCTGGGGGGCTGATCCCTAGGGCTCTGTGAGGCATTGGAGGAGAGTCTTCCTGAGGGTGGGGCTCCCCAGCCTGGGACTAGAGGTGGGGACATGAAACTGGGGTCAGGGCTGAGGCTCAGGTGACGGTTCAAGTTTGAATTATCATGACCCACAAAACACGCTGCCACCCCCGTGGTAAGGTGAGGCTGGGCTGGAGGCCTCCTGGGTTGAGGTCTGGCTGCAGGACCTTTCCTCGGCCTTTCCCTCACTGTAAAGTGGGGGTGGGCGGCTAGGGCAGGTGGGCTCTATGATGCCCACCTCCAAGGCTATCTGCCGAGTGTGTCTGGGGCAGGGCTGGACTAGCAGCTTTGGGAGGGGGCGTGGGCAGTGTCTTTCTGGGTCTGCCCCAGAGGCGCCGGGAGGAGAAGGTCCATTTGTAGGTCTGTTCTTTTCTTTAAAGTTCCCTTATTGGGAGACCCAGTCATAGACCATGAGGAGCCTGCAGAGGGCTTGGCCACATCAGTCCTGGGGACCCAGAAGCCCCAGCCTCCTGTCTCCCTGCTGGGGTCTCTTCCTGCACCTCTCTGGCTAGAACTACCACCATCCAACTCTTACCCTCAGCTGAGAGCAGTGAGGCTCCCACCCCCACTTTATGGATGAGGAAACTGAGCTCTGGGGTGAGGGTCTTGCCGTCAGGGGCGCTGCTGAGTCCAGCCTCAGGCATTAGTCCCATCAACTCAGAATCTCAGCCCAGGCTGGAGTGCCCCCGCACCCAGCTCCCTGCTTGCCTGCAAGGGCCGGGCAGAAAGGATGCCAGGAGGGGACTGTGGAGCAGCCAGCGACCTTGTGTCACTGGCCAGCTGGGCCTGAGCAGCAGGAAGCAGAAACCCACGCGTGGGCAGCCGGCTTGTGCGTGGTCAGCAGAGCGGAGGCGGCCACACGAGGCAGCCCGGGACTCGGGGAATGGGCCTGGCTGCCCTTTTCCCCTCCCCCACTGGCTCAGCTGCAGGTGGGACAGATGGCCTGGTCAGAGACCTGGAGGACGGTGGGGAAATTGTGGTCTGGAGGCAGAAGGAACTTGCTGAGCTCCATGACAATGCATGTCCTAGCTGCCTGAGCCCAGGCTGCTCCTCTGCAGACCAGTTCACACATGCCCAGTGCAAGTGGGCAGCCACACAGCCAGGGCCACTCCTGGAGTGGGGAGGTGTCCCCCAGTGGCAGAAGTTTGAGGTCAGTCCTAGGTTCAAGGTGGCTCCAGGTGGTTCCCCGCCATGTGGAGATGGAGGGCTGGAGGGCAAGCAGGTCCCTGGCACAGAAGGCAAGTGAGAGGGCCAGGAGGGAGGCTCCCTGGCAGGGGGAGGCTGCCATGAGTGGGTGGCAGGGCTGGGACCAACAGAACAGGGAGGGGCAGGCCCATGGCAGCCGCAGCCAGGCACCAAGTGGGAACCGCTCAGCCCCAAGGATGTCAGGAAAGACCGGTCTCCTCTGCTCTCTCTGGCCCACCTCCCCTCCTGTCAGGTCTGCAGGTCCTTCCTGGGAAGCAGGAAGCTTGGAGAGGAAGGGGGCGGAGCGCAGCCAGGAGGGAGAGCCAGGCCCTCACTCAGAGGGGGTCAGAGACCCACGAGACCCAGAGGGTGGGCGGAGTGGGCCCAGGGCCCAAGGGAGTCATGTGAGGCCCCTCACCAGATGGGCTCTGCCGAGAGGCCCCAGGGTGCTGCCCACCCCTCCCTGCTCAGGCCTGGTGGAGGTAGAGGTCCTTGGCTCCCCTGGCTGGGCCCCTGCTCCTGCAGGTGGACAAGAGACCCAGGGGGTGGGCGGAGTGGGCCCAGGGCCCAAGGGAGTCATGTGAGGCCACTCACCAGATGGGCTCTGCCGAGAGGCCCCAGGGTGCTGCCCACCCCTCCCTGCTCTGGCCTGGTGGAGGTAGAGGTCCTTGGCTCCCCTGGCTGGGCCCCTGCTCCTGCAGGTGGACACTGGTGGGTGGTGGACAGACAGGTGGACCGAGCCGGTGCCTGTGCCGCTGCCCAGAGCCATCCTGCGCTCACTGGGAGCCAGGCTGAGCTGCCCTCGCCTGCAAGCCCCCCAGATGCCCAGAGCCCCAAGTCTCCCAGAGTGGGGTTCATGCTGTCCCCTTCTGCTCTTTCTCTTCCAGCTGCTGCTGGAGGCCTCAGGCAGGTGCCCGGACCCTGGACTTTAGGAGCCGTCCCTGCTTTCTGTCACCTGAAGCCGTGCCCTCTCCCCATCCCGTCCTCGCCCACACCCTTGCCCCTGGCCCCCAGCCCGGCCCGGCCTCGCCCTCTGCCGGACCCTGGCATGTCCAGGCCTGGCCCACGCCTGCCTGCCCAGCCCGCGGAACCCCGGCGGCCCCGCGAGCTAGGATGAA